CGCAGGGCAGAGGGCTGAAGAATGCCCCCCACAATGCGATGGGGCTGGATGGGGTGCAGACCCCCCTTCTCAGGGAACCCAGGTTTTTGGGGAGGGAGGTGAAGGTGGAGAAGACAGATGATAGGGGGGCATGGGCGCCCCAATAATTTAATGCACTTTGTACAGAGAAGCAGCTGCGCGGAGCCCCGCCTGGATTCCTCCCCCACCCCCCGGCCCGGGAGCCCCCCACCCCCTGGGGCGGGGCTCTGTGCCAGCCCCCCAGTAGCGGTCCATGGAGAGGACCAATGTGGGGCTGTGGGCCTTGGATGCCTGGGTCCCCATTGGGGGGCACGAACAGTCAGCCAAGGCGACGGTGGTGGACGGAGGGCCCGGACCCCTGGATCCCCCGAATGCCTGGGTCCCTAGGGGTCGACGAAGGGAGCCCCCCACCCCCTGGGGCGGGGCTCTGTGCCAGCCCCCCAGTAGCGGTCCATGGAGAGGACCAATGTGGGGCTGTGGGCCTTGGATGCCTGGGTCCCCATTGGGGGGCACGAACAGTCAGCCAAGGCGACGGTGGTGGACGGAGGGCCCGGACCCCTGGATCCCCCGAATGCCTGGGTCCCTAGGGGTCGACGAAGGAGACGGCGATGTAGCGGGTGCCAGCAGTGGTGGGCAGCCCCTCGTGGAAGTGCGTCAGGCGCCCAGGGTGCAGCAGGCTCCAGCCCTTGCGTGGGGCTGACACAGTGCAGCCGTAGCGCAGGAACCGGCACCCGCCGCCCTGGGGGGAGGGGGCACTGAATCACAGGGAGCCACAGGCACAGAGCCTCGGTGCCCCTCACTTCTGACCAGCTCTCAGGCCCACGGTGCTACTCTTGACCCACAGCCCCTGCCTCCTCCAGCCCTGTCGGTGCCCCTCACTCCCAACTCATATCCCCTCAAGCTGGTGGTGCCCCTCACTCCTGACCCACAGACCCCTGCCCCCCACAAGCTCTCCTGGTGCCCCTCACTGCCAACCTGCAGCCCCCCGCCCGCCCTCCCCTGCCCCAGGCCTGCTGGTGCCCCTCACTCCCAACCTGCAGCCCTGGCTTGGGCAGGGCAGGGGTCTGACCTTGTAAACCTGCCCTTTGTGGTTGAGGGCGATGTTGACAGTGAAGGTGGCGGCGTCGTGGTGGGGGCGCAGTGCTGGCTGGCTCTCGGGCCGGTACCGAACCACAAAGTTCAGCCCCGACTGTGCCTGGGGGCAGGGGTCACAGCCTGGGGCTGGGGGGCAGTGCAGCCAACCTCCCACAGCCCCCGCAGCCCTGCTACTGCCCCTCATTCCTGACCTGCAGGCCCCCGCCCCTCCCAGCCCTGCTGGCACCCCTCACTCCCAACCCGCAGTGCCTCCCCCCGAACCTTGGTGTAGTAACCCGGGAAGAACTTCTCGGTCACAGGTGCCACAAACTGGCGTAGGAATTGCAGCCACTCGCGCTCCAGCCCCACCTGCGCCAGGTGGATGTCGTCCGTTGGCACATTCTCATAGCCCCCAGATAGGCGTGCGTCCTGTGGCGGTGGCAGCACCGTCAGCAGAGGGCGCTCACAGGCCTGCTCCACCCCTTCATTGCCAGCAGGGGGCGCTGTGTGTGGGCAGGGGTGGGGCTCAGACAGGGGGCAGGGGGGTTTCGGCCCCCACCCCCTCCTGGCACTGACCTCGTGACGCCCCCCTGACCAGCCCCCGTGGGTCTCCATGACGTTGATCAGCTCGTCGCACAATGCATTCGATGCCAGCGGGAACCAGAACACATCCGGGCATGGCTGTCGGGGCAAGACATGGGGGTGGGGGGTTAGTACCCTGGTCTGGTGGCAGCCGAGGGACAGGGGCAGGACGGGGAGGGGGGGTTTTGCTACCTGGGGGCTGTGGGTCGGGAGTGAGGGGCACCAGCCAGGCTGGGGGAGGCAGGGAGCGACGGGTCCGGAGAGGTGGGGCTGCGGGTTGGGAGCGAGGCACCAACTGAGTGGTGGGGGGCTGTGGGTCAGGAGTGAGGGGCACTGACTGGGGGGGCTCACCTGCTCATAGAGGTCAGCGTCCAGCACACGGGTGTAGTTCTCGTGGATGTATTTCTCTTGCCAGTCCTGGGTAGCAGACCCGTGTCAGATCCTGACCTCTGACCCCCATCCACCCATTAGGTCCGGCCAGCCCAGCCCTACCTCTTCTCCCTTCGAAACTGCCCACAGTGCGGATGGGGGAGCATGGGAGGGTGCAGGGGGTTGTCAGAGATCTACCCAAGGTCCAGTGCAAAGATCAGAGATCAGGTTGAAAAGGTCAAGGGTCAGAGGCGCTCACCAGGAGGATGCTGAAGAGCTGCCAGAGGCTGGGGGTGGGATCAGGGAGCAGGGGAATCAGGGATATAGAGGTCATGGGACAGAGGTCAGAAATCAGGGGTCAGGGCACTCACTAGGAGACTGTTGAAGATTTGACAAAGATTGGAGCAAGGATCAGAGGTCAGGTCACTCCCCAAGGGATTGTTAATGTTTTGCCAGAGGTCACTGAGCAGAGATTGGAAATTGGGGACAGAGGTCAGGGTTCGGAGGAGAGAAATCAGGGGTCAGGGACTCTCACCAGCGGGGTATAGAAAATCTGGCAGAGGTCAGGAGCAAAGGTCAAAGGTCAGGGGACTCACGAGAGGAGTAACTAAAGGCTAGCAGAGGTTGGGGTCAAGCCCTCACCAGGGGGGTGTCAAAGATCTGGCAGAGTTCAGGAGCAGGGTTCAAGGGTCAGGGCAGTCACTGGGGAGTATCAACAATCTAACAGAGGTCAGGGGCAGGGGTCAGGGGCCTGGCACTCATCATAGGGGTGCTGAAGATCTGGCAGAGGCCAGGAACAGGGGTCAGGGGTCAAGGGTCACAGCACTTACTAGGGAATCCTAACAAATTCTAGTTGGGGTCAGGGATAGAGGTCATGGGGCAGGGGTCAGGCACTCACCAGAGGGATATCAAAGATTTGGCAGAAGTCAGGAGCAGGAGTCAGGGGCCACGGGTCAGGGCACTCACCAGGGAAGCATCCAAAATCCAGCTGAGCTTGGGGGCAGGGGGGTCAGGCACTCACCAGGGGGTTGTCGAAGATCTGCCAGAGGTCGGGGTAGGGCCGTGACACGTTGTACTTGGCTGTGGCCAGCAAGTGCCCAAAGTCCTCCTGGTTCGTGATGTGCAGGAACACACCCTGTGGGGATGCCCCCCCACCACGACCCCAGTCATGTCATGGCCCAGCCGCACACACGTATGCAAAGGGGGGGTGGGGAAGGGAGGGGGATGACCCCACCTTGTCCCGCAGGCTCTTGCAGAAGGCCATGTCGGGGTCCGTGTCCTCCAGCGTGAAGACGTGCCGGTCCTGCAGCTCGGCCCGTAACACAGTGCCACGCACCAGGTAGGCCTGGCTGATGTAAGGCACGTTCCACACCCCGCTGCCACCAGCACGCACAGGGGGACATGGACAGATATGTGACATCAGCCAGGAGCTGTGTGGGGGGGGTCACAGGGGTGGGGATGGGGGCAGGACCAGAGAGCTAAAAAAAACGAGCTGGGGGGGCACTCTGGGGACGTGGTGAAGGGCAGAGGCCCCACCCCCTGTGACGACTCACATGCGCTTGCCCTGCACAACATCCACGTAGTCCTCTGCCCGGGCGTAGTAGCCGTCAGGGCTCAGTGCCCCCCAGAAGTTGGACCACAGCTTCCCGGGCCGCGACACCATTGGCGCCACCACTTTCCTGGGATGGGGGGGTGCATTAGACCTGCCTCCCAGGCTGAAATGTCTGGGGGTGGGGTGGGGGGGCTCTCTCCCTTGTTGAGGCGGAGGAGGTGGCGCAGGGTGCGGGGGTCTGTCAGCGCCACGTCTGCATCCAGGCTGAAGTAGAAGTCGCAGTCGGGGTCCTGCCGGCAGGTGTCCCTGGGTGGGCACAGGGTGGGATGCTGGGGGTGGGGGTCACACAGGGCCTGCCTGCACTGCCTGTGAGCTCCCGTGGCCCCAGGCCCCTCACATGGCTGTCTAGGTCTCACCCTGGCCACACCCCTCCATGCAGCTGTCTCAGGCCCCACCCCCAGTGCCCAGGTCCCACCCCTTAGCTCCACCCCATCCACATGGCCGCCTCAGGCCACACCCCCACATGGTCTATCACAGGCCCCACCCCCAATGGCTTGTCAGACACCTCCAGTCCAAGCCCCACCCCTCACATTGCCATGTTACAGGCCCTGCCCCCAGCCTCACCCCTCCACCTGGTCATGTCACAGGCCCCGCCCCCAGCCCTGGCCCCTCACATGGCCATATCCCGGGCCTCGCCCTCGCTCAGCTCCTCCTCCGGGCCCACGATCTTGATGGTGGCGAAGGCAGCACGGAGCTGGGGCCAGGCCGCCTGTACATGCTGCTCATGAAGCACCTCCTGTTGGGGGGATAGGGGGGAAGCCAGGGCAGTAAGTGAGGGAGGGGGGGGTCACATGCACCTGCACACACATATACACGTGTGTGCACACTCATGCTGTTGTGGGTGAAGACACAAGGGAGCGTAGAGATTGCTCCAGTCTCAGAGATAGGGATGCATGCGTGTGTGCAGATGGGTGTGTGCATATGCGTGTATGTATGTGCGAATGCGACTGTATACGTATACCTGTGTGAACGTGTATGTGTGTTTTTGTGTGCGTCTTGCGTGGGGTGTTGCAGGGGGCACATGCGTGCGCATACACACGTGTGCAGACCCGTGTGAATGGACTCACGCTGTTGTGGATGAAGAGGTACAGGTAGGTATAGGCCCAGGGGATGGGCTCTAGGCCCAGTGGATGCGACTTGTTACAGGACAACTTTGAGGAGGAGGACACACACACACACACACACACACACACACACACACACACACACACACAGGCATGCGCAAACTCACGCTGTTTTGGATAAAAATATATAGGCGGATGTAGGAGAAGCCCCGGTCCTGGGGTACGGGGTGTGTTGTAGGAGAATTGGAAGTACAGGAGACACGTGTGTGCACACACGCATGCACATGGGTGTGCTAGACTCACGCTGTTGTGGATGAAGAGGCGCAGGCAGGCGTAGGGGTAGCTCCAGCCCAGCAGGCGCTGCAGGAACAGGGGCAGGAACGGGGTCGGCTGCTCGATGAACACTCCCACCTGCACCCGCGGCAGGGCCTCGTCCTGCACCCGGGGATAATGGGGGGGCGGGGGGAGGGTCAGGCACCCCCAAACCACCCCCAGCACCCTCACCTCTAGCAGGGGGGTCAGATACCACAA